ATAAATTTTTTTTTTTTAATTATATTTTGATATAAGAAATATTTATTTAACCTAGTCAAAGCTCTTGAAGAACTTTCACAGAATGAAGAGAAATTTCGGTGCTTCATAGAGTATCAGCAGGGCAAATTGGTTACCATTCTAATATATTTGTTTTTTACTTTACTTAAGTCACAGGTTCCTTCAAACTTTCTTTATACATACATATATATATTTCTGTTGTCTTTGGTTGTGGAAGGCGCGTTTCGTGTTTGTCGTTATTATTGTCTATAAATCTATGGCAGTTACAGCAACAACACGTTGACATTATGAATTTATTACTATTTAAATATTTTATATTTGTTATGGCTCTGGCAGGCGACGATGGCACCCAATAAGCAGCGTTGCCAGAGTCCTCACATTTTGTCCTTCCATTTCTTTTAGTTTTATTATTGTTGAATTGTTTTTGTTTTTTTTCCTTCTTTTGGTTGGTTGGCGTGCGTAACTATTTATGAGTTTGTCTGGGTAAGTTTTTGGTTGCACTGTTAAAGGTAGTTTGAGTAGGTCATGAATTATCGATGCTGTCAGCAGTAAATATTTGTAATATATGCGATATAACGTTATTTGTTGCACGACTTGCTTGGAAAATACCCAAATAGAAAAAAAGGGAGAGACAAAACATCAACTTTGAACCATTCGGTTCCAGACACACTAAATGCCCGTTGTATAATGATTTAAATAGATTTTTTTAATTGTCAGACAGACAGAACTTTTATTTATTTATTTTTTTGCTGGGCTTTTTGGCAAACCAGTTTCGGCATTTGGACTTTGGCATATTTCAGTTAGTTCTGTCTATGGACTTTGGCATCAGACACCGATTCGAATTGAGATCAATCACACATATCGCTGGCCCCCTAGCCAGCTCATTATTAATCAATTTGAAACCGGTATGCTTAAATATATAACAGTTTGAAGACAGTTCAAGCGTATCTGTCGCATCTCATTTCGATTGGGTTAATTATGGAAATGTACCTAGACACATTGATCGAGTAGCTGCTGTATAATTGGCTAGCTATACACTGATTATTAGGTGGATATTATCAGACGATGGCTACCTTTGAGCTGTCATATATACGTGCACTGAAGTAGACAAGGCTGAAAGCTTAGCTCATCAAACAGCAATTATCATTAAACTGTGCACAGTTTAACTGTGGCAATCGATTTAATTGTGGAATTTTTAAATGACATCTCACTATTCAGATAATTAAACTGAAGCTAATTGGGAAAGTCTAAATGTTATTAAATGAAGCGAGAATAATGTGAAATCTATAGTTTTCTTTCTCTTCATAGTTGCTGTCAACAACAATCTGTAGATTGTTGTGTTTATGATTATTTTCATAGTTATTGAATATCATTCAGATTACTGATGCATTCTAATGAATAGTGTCATTAATTATGCATATATGAGTAGTAGATGTTATTGTATAAAAATTTGTTTGCAAAATACTTGATTGATTCAAGAGCAGAGCCATTGTATTTTTCAATATATTTTAATGAGTATTAAAAAACAACAATAATAAACAAAGGAATATAAGAATTACTAGAGATAATGAGAATTTAATTCTGAAGCACATTTCGCTGTTCTTATACAAATCTTTTACTATTTTAAATGCACTAAAAATTATTTTAATTATTTTGATTATAGACAAAAAAAGTTAATTTAATTAAAGCGACAATACAAATGCTTACACGTGCTATTTTTAGTAAAGTAAATGATTACAAAAAAAAAAAAAACTATTTTCATTTTTGTTTTTTAGTACATGCAATTATGTCTCATTAGTCGGGCTGATTGGACGAATTAGCCCTGAATAATGAGTACAAAAATAATATCGAAAAAAACTAAGTATCAAAACTTTCTGCATCGCTGAGCTCAATGGCACTTAAAGTTACTTAAAATACACAACAAATTAACGTTAATGCTAATTTTACAAATTACAATAAACAATTAACAGTGGGCACTGCGAATAACAATAAACCTAGGTAAATCACTGGCAGCAATAATTGCAAAGGTCGTCAGATTACAAAATAAAGTGCAAAAAAATAATTATAAATTAAATAAAAACTAACAATCTTTATGGAGATAGAGAGAAGCGTTTAGAACGTGACGCATTGACAGCAGAAGCTGAGCATCATTAAAAAAGCGCGAATCAAATAAACTACTTCTACACATTTTATTACTCTCTTGTGATCAGCCAGCTATAAACATAGAGAAAGAGAGTAGGAGAGAGAGAGAGAGAGACAGAGAGAGAGAGAGAGAGAGAGAGAGAGAGAGAGAGAGAGAGCGAGAGGGAGACAAAACAATCTAGCCGAACCGAAAAGTGGGCAAAGTTCGCCAAGTCAAATGATATAAAAGCGTATCGCACGATGAATCAAACAAGCAGTGTAAAAAGCAGATACAACCAAATATCATGAAATACCTTATCGTTCTCGTTGCCTGTGTGGCCCTGGTCGCTGCCGACGTAAGTGTTGCAGGCTATGGAGTTCTTATAACTACTACATGTATCTAAATTCATTACAGGAATTGCAGCTGTCGGACGAGCAGAAGGCCCGTGCAAAGGCCAATGCTGGAGCCTGCATTGAGCAGGAGGGCGTCACCAAGGAGCAGGCCATGGCTCTGCGTGAGGGCAAATTCGAGAATGTGGATGAGAAGGTGAAGTGCTTTGCCAACTGCTTCCTGGAGAAGAGCGGCTTTCTGGCCGATGGCCAGATCAAGTCCGATGTCGTGTTGGAGAAGCTGGGTCCGATTGTGGGCGTCGACAAGGTCAAGGCTGCCCAGGAGAAGTGCGACTCGCTGAAGGGCTCTGACAAATGCGACACCGGCTTCCAATTGTATCAGTGCTACTATAAGCAGCATACTCAGATCTAACTCAATCGAAATCCAGCTCCAAGTCTAACCTAACCTAAAGCATCTGTGAAGTATTAGCACGAAATTGAATAGCAACCGTTAATACAATGAAACTGTAAATAAAATAAACCTATCAAAGCTTCCTAAAAATACATAGTATATAAATAATATAAAAAAGAAAACTATTTAAAAGTATCTCTTGAATACTTTTCAGAGTCGATTAATTAAATTTGAAATTATTTCCTATCGATTGTAAAAACCCAGTGAGATATATATACGATACGATATTATATATACTATATTTTAAATATGTATATGCACACATATTCGATATACTTGATATCTCTTTAAATATGGAACTAATTGCATGGCTAATGCGATATATGAAAGGCATACTATAAAAGCCATATCTTCAAGCAAACAAAGAACAGTAAGAATAAATTTATCAAAAGAGTAGCTGACTTTAAGACTAAAAGCAAAAATAATGAAATATATATTATTTTTCTTAGACTGCTTAATTTTAAGTTTAGCCTGTGTAAGCATTATAGATATATACACTATATACTACCGGCATATACAAATGAGAATTTAATTAATGTTCTTTCCAGAATCCCAAGCTGCCGGCAGCTCTGAGGGACCAAGCAGCGCGAACATGCCTACCATTGGGCTTTAGTAATATTCTGAATTATCGGTGTTTTCCCTACTGCTTCATGAACAATATGGGCTTCTTCATAAATGGCCAGATTAGTAGAGATACGGTGCTTCTAATAATGGCTCCCATAGCCGGCTTAGAAAAGGTTAAAGCTGCGCAAGCCAAATGCGATATTGAGCGATCCAGAGAAAAAAAATGTGATTTTGCCGTAAAATTAAGCAAGTGCTATGAGGATAACGATGTGATAATATTTGATGATTTGTCTTTTCTGTATTCGGATCTAGTAACATCATATTTTAATAAAACAAATTCTACGAAATAAGTGTTCCTCCGGCGATACCCTATACTGATTAAATAGTTAAATAAATTTTTGCATAAATGCATATACCAAAAATAGAATTCAATATTCATAATAATTAACTATTGAGAATTTTGAAATATAAATATATTTTCTAGTTGCATATACCATGAAAGAAGTGTTAAAAACTTATTAAATTTCAATGCAAACTAAATGTCTTTTTGATAGGGTATTTCATAATGATGAATTAGGGTATAAATAAATAAATATTAAACTTCAATAAAATATTATAAAATATATTTGTTTAAGTTATACTAAGTTGTAAATAAACAACAAATATTATAGAAACAAATAAATTAATAATTAATTAAAACAAAACAAAAAATTTTAAGAAAAACTTCTTTAAATAAAGTTGAATTGAAATTGTAATAATAATCAAATTTATATTGAAATTTTGTAAAAAAATATAATTATTATAAATAAACGCAGATCTTAGTAAAATACAAATAAATTAAGTTCTTCAGAATAAAATATTATTACCAAATTAAATTTGACTAATTTATTAATTGAAATCTGAAATAAATAAATAAAATGATTTAAAATATAATTAATAAATGAAACTCTGTTAATTTTGACTAATAACTGATGCTGTTTCTATTTTAGAATTCAGTTGGAATATTTTAAAGAAAATTTGCATAACAGTTGGGGATCATTAGATGCCAACTGTCAGACCCGCATCAGACGTTAAGTCCCAGCGTCCCTTAGGTATTTGCACGTTTATTCAAATGCATAAATATTGATGAGCGTCGCTTGAAAAACTTTCGATTTCGCCTCAGCCTTAGCTTTGCCCTTCTTTCTTTTTTTTTTTTATTATTTTTATACAAAGTGCGACCCACACGACGTATGCGAAATGTTTGCTACAAATGAATGGGCACAAGTTGAGGGCTTGACCTTTTATTGTCGTTGTCGTTGTCGATGTTGCTGTTGTTGTTGTTATTGTCGTTGTTGTTGCTCAAAAGCCAAAATCCAATTAACAAATCATTAAACATTCATTGAGCACGTGGCGCAATTGCAATTGCCAGTGGGTCAGTGAGGTGTGCGCAGAGTTTCGATTGGGGGATGTGTATGAAGAACACCTTTTTATAGGGTTGCGAGCTGCGTGAATACGTTAAGTTACTTTTAGCACTGGAAAGACAAATGCTTGGGGAATTTGGCGACCATTAGCTGGGCGCCAGCCAGCTGACTGTGTGACTGGCTGACTGGCTGACTGACTGACTGAAAGGCTGACTGATGGTCGGGCTTAGCTTGGCGTCTATAATTCATTTTGTCACTTCCTGGCAGTACGAACTGTGCTGTCACTTCCATTTAGCATCCGTTTCAGTTGCAGTTGTCTGCACAAAAGCCTTGGCATAATCACTGATGCGTTTACTAATGTCTATTAAAAAGCACCCTCTGCCACACCCACTCCGCCAAGACCGCCCATGCCTTCGATGCCGCCCACTCACCCCGCCTCCTGCCTGTCCGGCTAATGCATTTAAGTAGACAGCTCGTGGTTTCTGCGCTGGCGGCTTGTCAAAGAAACCCCAACACGCGTGCTCTGCGGACGCTGCCAAAGGGACAAACACATTGATGCTGCTCTAGCCTTTGTCTTGACAGACAGCAAGACATTGAGACGGCCGGCGGGGGGCGGACGGACGGGCAGATAGACAGACTGGCACAGCGACAGCCAGGCTGAGCATTTCAGAGCGGGCAACTTTTCTTATTTCGCCTGTCCTGTTCGCCTTGTTAGTTGGCTCAATGAGTCTGCCCTGGCGTGGGGCTCCTGGATTGGCTGCCTGCGGTTCTCACATTAATGTAATTTAATTTTATAAAAACTCCGCTCGGGGGGTTGTTAGATACACTATATACATTGGCATTGTGGCATTGACAGTTCAGCTGTCTTTACTTTGATCTTAAAGACATACATGTGTCTGCGACCAGGTCCTGTTGCCGTTTGCTGCTCCAGATAATCAGCCCACGTCTCTTGTCGAGTTCATCAATTAGGTATTGCTTTTAAGGCCAATACCACTAGCAGCCGAGACTTCAATGGACTGCGATTCGAGTTAATAAAAATCTCCGATTTTACGCATTTCTTGAGTAATTGCCAAAAGCATCCATTGAGCTAAGTAATTGCTGGAAAAGTAAAAGAAAATATTTTTTTCACTTCTGTCGTAAGAGCTAATAAAAAAAATATGTAATAAAACTTATTCTTATAAAATATATGAAATTACTGTAAATAATTAATATATAGAAGTAATTCAATTTATTTTCTATCATCATCAGCTAACCTTACTTAATTTTTTAAATTTAAATTATTAAATTAATGGCATCGTTCATAAATTTATTTTTATAAACTATTAACTTCCAATTATGAAATATGTATAATAAAAATCGATCAAATTAAAGTAAAGCAAGCCCAAATTATTGAGCTCCTTAACATTAATAATCGATGTTATTTGCATTGCTACAACAACAGTTTGATAGCATTTAGATCATTTGGGTGTACTTTTAGCTGTACAAATATACTCCATATTTCAATGTGTCATATTTAAAGCGTTACATAAACGTGGCTAATAATCTGTAGCCACGCACTGATGCGCATCCTTTTAAATGTTATTTATCTGCAAAAAGTAGCTGGACTCATCGCAGTCATTATAAATCATTATAAAATAAGCTACACAAAATTGGAGCATTAAGCATGAAATCGTGGTATTATATATAATTTGCTGTCTTTTCCGTACGATAGATCCGTTTCCGATCAGCGTCTAGTCAGGCGTGCGAATTTTAAAGTTATTTATAGCTATTAAACACGAATTAAGCCCAACATTCTGTACCTTATATAAGGTTAAACAGTGCACACGTCAGTGTCATATATAGTTGAACACGTTTCCAAGTGCTCAAAAAAAGTGGAAGGAAAATCAAATACGATTGAAATCATTTTAAATGCATACTCGAGTCACCCTGTTGTTCTTGGCGCAGAGTCTGTGTCTGTGTCTGAATCCAGTTTGGGTAAGAAAGAAATTGATAGGACGGAGCTCTTAGCGTTGATCAGCTGCCATAATATCTTCTACCTAGGCACGTTCGGTCTCTGTGTCCCTGAACATGTCCCTGACGCGCAGCGTTTTGGATGTACAGACTGTGACCAGGCAGCAAGCGAAGCTCAATCAGGAACTGTTGCAGTCCTGCATGCGGGAGACGGAGATATCCATGTCGCAGTTGAAATTCTTTCGGCTCAGCCTGCTCTTCAACGACAACAACAACTCAGACAATGAGCTGGCCATTGCTCCAGTCGATGGGGAAGCTGAGCTGAATGCCGTCAATAATGCGCCTGAAATGGACTATAGCAGTGGCTCCCCCTACCTGGATATGAAGCGGAACGAGCCGTTGCAGTGCTTTGTGCGCTGCTTATATGAGAGTCTGGGCATTGTGCACTACGACATGATGCTGGAGGAGGCCTTCAAAATGCAACTGGACAATCTGATGCAGCGCCTGAAGCCGGAGCTGAAGGAGTGCAAGAATATGAAGAGCAGGAATCGCTGCGAGGCTGCCTACAAACTGCACTTGTGCTACAATCATCTCAAGAACCTGGACACGGAGCAGCGACTGCGCGAGATGCTCGAACGTACCGAAACGAACAGTGATCTGCCAGACGCCGAGGAGAACGAGACCGACAATGACAATGAGACTCAGAACGAGAATTCGAACGACAATGAGAACATTGTGAGTGCAACGGACAAGGCCAATGAGATCATTGATGCCATGCAGCGCATTAGCGACGCAGCGGAGGCGGCAGCAGCAGCGGTAGCGGCAGCGGCAGAAGCAGAGGCCTAGATCCTATTCATATATTTATAAACTATACCATATTTTATATAAATATATATCCCGCACATATAAATAAATATATGTGTGTATGTAATATGCAAAGGTAGTTTTTTATGGCAATATTAGTATTGCGTGGTTACAGGCATAGCTTGATATACTTTCATATTTTATTTTTATTTGTTATTGCATAGCTTTGGGCGATATTTGAATTGCGCTGATCTTATTCTTAAAAGCGATATCTATATACAATAATAATAATAACAGAGCTGTCAAGCAAAAATAATTGGTTACAGAATATAGATAACATGATGTATAAAATGTTATTCTCATTTTATATACACACTGTTATATATACAACAGTTAATCAGCAGGGCTTAAAAAGAGTTCTCCATATTTGAAAAAAAGATAGAAAACAATAAGAATAAATATGTAAATATTTTATTATTTATATATATTTGCTGGGAAGTTGTAACAGTTACTTAACATTTTAGCTTTTGCATATATTACAGCATTACTTGAATGGCATTACTATTTTAAAGTATTTTATAAAATATGATTGTTTAATTTTTGACATATTATATATATATTATTTTAAAATACTAGTGTTATTTAACAGTAGCGTAAAAATAACATGGTAAAAAAAACATAAATTTTTAACTTTGAACTTTGAAATATATATACCTATAGATCGATTAAAGAATAAAATTACACTTATTATTATTATATAAATATCACACACATAAATATCACATAAATTTCTGTTGACGAAACAGTAAACACGAGAGGGAAATACAAATTTAATGCTAGGCTAACAGCGTTAACTAGCAGAAATTAAAATGAAATTTCAATTTAATAATTTAATTAAGATAATTTTCAACATTTCGGTCAATAACTCTGGGCTCTTGACTATTTAAACAGCATGAAATAGCTCCAAAAATATCAGTGTTCCAAATTCGACGCGAAATGAAAGTTAACATTTTTGTGCAAGTCTTAATCGTATGCTCCCTCTACGAGCTGGCTGTGGTAAGTTCGGAGTGTAACAGCAAGGACATTGAACTATTTTAATAGACGATTTGCTCTCACAGTCGCAGAGTGCTGCTGACTTGGCTGCCTATGCGAACAAGCAGCAGGAGTGCATCAAAGAGCTGAAAATTCCGGCTAACGAAGCGACTCAAATCACGGCCAACAAGGATGTGTCGAATCCGTCCGCTGCTTACAAATGCTATCACGACTGTCTATACAAGAAATTGGGTCTGATGGCCGCAGATGGTAAGGCTAACGAAGAGAGAATTGTGAAATATGCCCAGGCTCGATTCAGTGCGTCGGTGGACAAGATCAAGACCAAGCTCACTGAATGCATGACTGGCGTGAAAAAGGTTCCAAATGCCTGCCAACATATCTACAACTTGGAGCTCTGCATGTCAAAGGCACTCACAGCTTAAATATATGGAGCAGGGGCCGAATGCACTTTGCATAAATGACAAGCGTACAGCGCGGCAATCACGCAGCGAAATCCGTTAAATAATAAAGTTATTTTACAATATTAACGCATTTGCCGCATAATCGTGGGTGGTTGGGGCACGTGCATTGTGCATTTAATTATGCAAATTGAAAATGGCAAATGAGCCAACATGCACACACACGCACACACCCGCTTTTATCTACATAGTAGTTGTTGTATATGTACATATGTATGTAGCAATATGTATACATAATCCATTTAAGCTGCTGGCTTATGCCCAGTCCAGAGGCCAGCAAAGCTGCAATTGAGCTGTGACAAACTGTGACGCATTACAAAGAATACCCAACTGCACAGAGAAACAATACTTGGGCCTTAACTAGACGCGAAATTAATGAAATATTGTACAAAATAAAGACTTTCTTATTATAATGTAAGGTAAAAAATTTAAAGTTTAATATCAGAAAGGTGCTAAGTTAGCTGTATAAAAAATTATATCCTAAATTAATAGCATATATTAGTACATAAGCCCAATTTTTATTTTAGTATATATATACTATTTTTAGTATGTCTGTCTAGCCGTTTTCTTTAAATATTACCATAATTTATATCTATACTAGGTATAATATGTGTGATAAATAGCTCTAATAGCTCTAAATTTTCGTATCTTTCGCTTAGATCTATAATTTCTACTTACAGTTGCCACAGCCTTTTCTTAATATTATGAAATCTCTTCAATAACAAGCTAAAATATTTTAGCTTATAGAGATTAGTGTGTCTATATATTTTAGAGCTAAAGTACCTAATTTTCTAAAAAAAAAATAAAATCTTTTTAGCAATAGGCTACGACATTTCTGTTTTTAGAACAAACATAAAACATTCTGAATTTGATCGCTGACCAATCTCAGTTGGTTTGCCTGCCAAACAAAACAAATGCATTTCGCGAGCAGAGCTTCATTTAGCTACCCCTGCAAAACCCACAGCATTAGCAGTGCTTTTCGCATGCAACCCTATCCAGCTAGTCAACATTATGCACACTCACACACAAGTAGACGACGTTTTGTTTTATCTATTACGATATACAGTTATTATTATTGTTTTTCAATGCAAGCATAAATTAATTACAATTTGTCAGCATGTGAACAAAATGTTGCTTTAAGCCTTAATCTCGACGGGATTGAAGGATTCGAAGCATTCGTACAATTTGTTGGCCGTATCGCATTTATTCTCGCCTTTGATGCCGCTGCACTTGGTAAGAGCCTGGCGGGTCTTCTCCTCGCCGATGATGGCGCCGAGCTTCTTCAGCACCACCTCCTCTTGAACAACACCGTCCTTGAGTGTGCCCGTCTTCTCGTAGAAGCAGTTGGCAAAGCATTTGATGTTCTCGCTGGGGTTGGTGAAGTCCTTGGCCTTCACCTTGGCAATCTCCTCCTCGGTCAGTTTGACCTCCTCTGTACACTGTGCAACATGTTGCTTGATCAGTTGTTTCTGCTCGTCGTTGAGCTCAACGGGCTGCGGATTAGAAATTGAGAAGTCGAACAAATTCAGCAATTGATTTAGATTAGAACTGCCAGGAGTAGGCAGAATGCGAGTACATTTTATCTATCATCATTTTCGTTTATATTTTGTATTTTTCTTTGCATATTTTTTGTTGATTATCTTTCCTTGTCACTTAGCCTCTTTCAGTGCCTTTTTGATTTATCTTTCTTAACAACAATTGCTTGCAATTTGTTTCATCATTAAGATCATGACACAGCTATACCTTAATAATATATATTACACTCTTTCTTCAAATCATCTTTATAATTACACATTTTTATTTTCATCTTTTTTACCTTCTCGTTCTTTCCATATCTGAATACAACATTTACTTCAGAATAATGTTTTTTTTCCACTTATTTTATTTTAAATTTTCGTATCTTTCGCTTAGATCTATAATTTCTACTTACAGTTGCCACAGCCATAGCGACGAGGAAGGCGGTCAAAGCGATCACAAAAATGGGATTCATGTTTGTAGACTCAGTTGCGAATTGTTAGATTTTTTTTTTTGTTCTGATGATTTCTGTGATTTTGCGTTGGCTTTTTTTTTTTGAATTTTTTTTTAGTCTAAGCCGGTTTTTATTTACTTTTTTTCTGTATTTTTTTAATGGGCCCGCGGCTGTGATCTACCCAAGCTGTCACTTTTTTTGAGCAGTTTGTTTTATAACCATTTCATGTTCGTTTGGCATTACGCCCAAGTACTTTCAGACAACTAGCCTGCGGGCGTGCTCTATGAAAGCAAACCTTCTTGAGTCTAGCTTTGGTTCATTAGAGGCGAACGATCGAATCAATTATGCATGCAGACTGGCAGAAGGGGCAATATTCAGATGTCTGAAGTGTGGTCTCCAGATCAATAAGTCTGCTTTTACCAATTCATGTTTGTTTCGTATTTGTTTTTAATTTTCTTCTCTTTTTCTTTATTTGTTACTTGCCTGGCAGCTGCTTAATCATTATCGCACTACTCAATCAGCGAGACCAAATGAAAACTTTGCACTTTGCCAAAACGCGGCCAGAGCTCGGACTGGCGGGGAGTTGGCGAGATATGTATCTGAAAGGCGCGGTGTAAGTCGTATTGAAAGTTGAGATGAGCGAGGAAAAGTCAAAGAGAACGAAGAAGTAGAAGTAGTAGCAGGAGCTGTAGCTGTAGCTGTAGCTGTAGCTGTAGCTGTAGCTGAAGTAAAAGACAGACGACGGCAAAGTTTTTTCATTTGAATCCTATTATTTCAACGTAGTTGTAATCTTATTATCCACGAGATGACAGCAAAATGACATTTAGAAAATTTCACGCTGTGTGAAATGTACAAAAACAACAAAAAAAGACGCATACTCGCACACCCACACACACAAACAAACGCAAACCAAAGCAAATACGGGAATGCAAGAAACTCAGCAGCAGAGCAATGCGTGTGGGTGTTGTTGCAGAAGAGCTCTGCCTGAGACCAAGAAAAAGAGTGAAATAGAGAGAGAGAGAGAGAGAGAGAGAGAGAAGATGTGGTAGCTGTCGCTGCTGCGTAATGCGGCTGCCACTTCTAACTGCTGATGCTGCTCCTGCTTCTTCTTCATGTTTTCCACCAAGTTTTGCCCACTCTCGTCTGCCTGTCGCTGGCTTCCTTTTAATTTCAATTCTGACATTTGTTTGTCTGCTGTCAAAATAAAGTAGCTTTTGCGCCAAAGAAATAAACCAAAAACAACAAAAAAACGAACGAAAAGATTGCGATTGAAAATTTCCAACAAGCAACCACCTAACCAGAGAGCCACCTAACCACCCAGCCACCCAGCCATCTAGCGCCTCCATCCACCCAAACGCCCGAACAACAATAATAATAAACTAAAGCTGGTTTGACTTTGTGTAAATTCTTTGAAATCCTCACGTGGCAAATCTTAATTCAATTTGCCTGCGGTTCGCCAAACAAACTTCAAAATTTCTGAGTCGAAAGTCAAGCTGACAATGTGTATAGAAGGAGACATACCATATGTACATATAAATATAAATATATACACATATACACATGCAAGTGACATATGCTTACCGCAATTTTACCGTGCGTTAATTTAGAGGGGAATAAAACTTCAGTTAGGAGATTAGAAATCGATTAGAAATAAATAAGTAAAGTATCGTTAAAGACAAATTTTATATAACATTAAAATAGAAATAATTAAAAATACCTCACTTGACAAAAACAATACTAAATATGCTACAAAAATATATATAAATAAAACAAAAATAAATATATGAAAAATAGTAAATGCTTTTATTTCATATGCATCATTATTAGAACCATTCGATGTTCTTTTTAAATAAAAACGGCAACAAAGATAAGAGCGATAAGATAAGATAAGGATAAGAAAAATACTTCGAATAATCTATAAACTTTCTCTTCAGTCAATTTTTAAATTCTTGTCAGTAGTTAACTTAAGAGTTCGATAATGCAATATATGTATATATATGTCTCTGTGAAAAATAAAATGTAGCTTAAACTCTATATGATGGTCAAAATAATGTTCTAGGGAAATAACGCACAACAAAATACAATTAAAATTCAACAAATAGAATGGATTAAATGAAGATATTCAAACTAATTTTAATTTTGTTTTATTAAGTTCTAAAAAATAAAATATCAGAAAGTTTCTTATATTA